CTGGCTTCCAGGAAGCATTGGCATTCCATAATAGCATTGGGTGCTTTTTTATTAAACAAGATGTTTTCTTGCTGTTCTGATTGTATACAGGTGGCAAAGAGATCCCATTCACCTGTGTGGTAAAAATGATCAAAGTTACCCATTCATTTCTATGAGAACAGCAAAAAGACATCTCCAGGAGATTTGGCTTTTTGTGAAAGTAAAAACATTTTTCTGTGCACCTCCATTTTCTGTCAACCAAATATATGCATATATGTTTAACCCAGTATATAAAATAAGAAACACCTGAGGAATATTACATACTAAACAGCTTACATACTGTGCATGTCTACAGTAGACTTTACTTTGAATATTTTAAATATTAAGTTAAGAGTACAGGAAAAAGGGTAACTTTATAATGAGGTTGTTCACATGAACTAATAATAAACAGTACTTTTAAAGCATTTATTAATCTTGCACATTTTTATAAACACTAAAATTGTAAAAGTTTTGTATATTAAAATGAGTTACTGTTTAATTAAACGAACTTGAATTAATACTAAACAGCAACATTTTCTTTAATTAACTTTGATAAATAAAAAATGATTGTTCATTGTTAATTCATGATACCAAATGCATTATACATTAAAATGAACATATAGACACTTACTGTGAAGCTCCATTTACATACAGCACAACACTTAATTTAAACTTTTGCCAACTATTGTGTTTTATCCTTGGATGCTATTGCATGAACATAATTTACCATATTTTCTATATTCACCATATCACCTACAGTGATAATTTTTTTTCCCTTCAGTTCGATCTGATACAGTCAGCTGAATTACATGTATTCAGTGCAGTCTTTACATTCTTTCGCTCTTTTTGTTCAATTGGCTGGTAAAAAAAAAGTTTTGGGTTTTATCTGAAGAGCGAAAATATAAAAACAACAACCACATTTATCTTTATTTTCCACACAGTAATGAATGGGTAACTCATTTCTGGCACCCAGGATTTGTTTACCCCCATGATAGGCCACACACACAGATGATTTGTTTCCGACTGGGGTTGTTTCTTATCCTGCTATATGCCTTGCTTATGTCTGGCAGGGGAACACAGTGGAGTTACCCGAGGAGGAAAACACACCAGAGAAAAGAGTCGACCGCATCTTTGCTATGATGGATAAGGTGAATTCTGTGTATTTATTTGCTGTGTACTGTCTTCCGCTGCCTCGTTGCTCTCATACACAACATTACTTGCAGAAATCATTGCCTGTGTACAAATAAGTATAGAAAATGTACTGCATTTATAGTGAATTGCAGTAACTCTCTGAGAATGGTCAGTTATTTTTTAAACAACAAACCAATCCCATCATTTCCCATGACTGAATAGTCATAGCAATAGGTTCAATACAATGGCTTATTTCTGCTGTGATTGTCAGGAAGACTGTCCTTCGTCAGGCACTAGAAACACAGAAGGCACGCCACATGAAAGACGCAAAATAGAAGCTCTATTGCACTTTGGAAAGCTTTGATAAAAGAGCCTTTGAAAGAGCACTCAGCTATAGAGAGAAAGAAGAGATTTGAATTCATCATTAAAAACGGTCTTTCTACCTGATTCCATGCATATCTTCCGCCACCAACTCTATGCAGTGCACTTAATATGAGTCTGTGTGTTTGAAAACAGTGACATGACTTATGACTAAGTGTCTTCCTTTTGTCAACAGAATGCAGATGGGATGTTGACTCTACAGGAGTTTCAGGAGGGCTCCAAGGCAGACCCCTCTATTGTACAAGCACTCTCCCTTTATGACGGCCTGGTGTAGGCCCATCTCAAAGTGACGTTCAGTGAGTCCCATTTCCCATTTTCCAAATGCTGAAAACAGCCATGTACCAGCCTGCTGACTACAGTGAATATTCTAAATGTGCAAATCAGTGTTAATTTAGTATTATTTATATACTGTTACAGTGGGG